GATTTCATGGGAAAATTAAATCCTTGGTAAGGGAAGTAGGAAAGACAGAAAAAAATATACAAAAACAAAAACAAAAACAAAACACAAGAGCAGGGGAGAAAAAAAGAGGTAACTATAACTGAGCATATAAGAAGTAACAGACAGGACCAGCAGGATCCTAAGAAAAATGCTAAAGTGGTCTCTTTGTACAATTTACAAAAGAGTCTGTGGGGGTCACAGCAATATGCCAACCAGCAAAGATGTGAGGCTCCAAGAGCTGATGGTCAGCTGAGCAGGTGCTGGAGGCATATCAGGACAAGAGAAGGTTACGGTGAAACGCAGAACTGGTCATCTCTGGTTAATAAGCTATTGCCAATTTCTCATGTGGGGAGAAATAATAATTTAACTAGATTTGCTTGTATAAGTTTACTCATAGATAAGGTAGTATCAGATTTTGGTCATTAGTTGTGAGGATATAATTTTATGGATGGTGAGTTCATAAAATTCTTTTCAAATAATTCCTTCATGCTGCTAATCTCAGTTTAAAAACACAATTAGCTTTATGTTGTATGTGGTGCTTGCTATCAGCACCAGCCACCCTCGCCGCAGAGTCCCATGTGCTTGGATGGCTAGCAACAGTGTGGCGCTAGGAGGTAAGCACTGACACCCACAACCTGCTAGCGAGATTTCGCCTCTTGGAGTTGTCCTAAAACAGGGTCCTGAAGTACCTGGCCCGCACACTGAGCCCACACAGGCCTGGAAAGGTTTTGTGTTCATTCATCTTTGCTCCATATGCATCTCCTCGACACTCTCCCTGTGTCTTCTGCTGTTCTGATGTGTGCGTACACGTGCACACACACACACACTCACACACACACGTTCACACACATGTCTATCTTGTTCTCACTCTCTTCATCTGGATTTCTTTTTGGTCTCTGTCTCCTTTGCTTTTCCACATAGACTCTAAGGATAACTCTTGGTTCTAAAACACAAACTGTCACTCAAGTACTTTCGGAAGGCCTGAAAGCGGACCCCAATTTCTTTACCTGTTCCCTTCAAGCTCACACACATAAGTCATCACCAGGGACCAGCTGAAGGCCCCTGGCTCCTTCTTCAGCCACTTCTCCAGTTCCTGCAGGTTCTGGTCAATGTAGTCGGTAGCAATGATCTCCTTGAAGGATTCGCAGGCAGATAGGAGCTGATAGATGGTGGGGCCAGAGCCAATATCAATCAGGAGGTCTCCATTCACGCCATCTGGTTTAGAGTAAGGAACAGGGAAGTAGGAATCAGGCATCATGGGGTGGCAGATAGAGCTGATTTGCATTGTCTTTTCTGGGACTGTGATGGGGAGCCCAAAGACAGACCATCTCGCTCACTACTAGACCGTCACTACTCATTCCTCTCACGTCAGTCTTCTTTAGTTTTTATCTTAGTTAAATAAATGAGTGATGCCAAAAGCGCTGTCAAATAATGACTAGACAGAAAACTGTCATGCCCTGATACCCTATTTACGTATAGACTCACAGTTGGGTTGGGGGTGGGGCAGGAGACACAAACAGCAGACAAACTTACCTAGGCAGAATATCTTGAAAAGATTTTTCAAAAGAAGCCTAAGAACTTGGTTTTCTGCAGAGTCACTAGACCCAAAGCTGTAATAGTTTTCTAGGTAATCTCGAGGGTTAAAATGGCTCAGATAAGTATCCTTAGAGGTGAAGCCAGATTCCATGGTATCTCTCTTCTATACCACCACTGCCTTCCCTCTCCTCCAGAAGCTAGAGTCAGCCTGTAGAAATTGTCTTTCTGAGTCTCGGGCTTTCAACCTTTCTTCTATCAATTCAGCCCACCCCTTAGAGACAGGCCCACCCCTTAGGGGCAGATGTTTGGTTAAACGCTAACAGAGAAATATACCAAAAATGTTTTGGTTGTTCTGGGAAGTGATGAAATTCCTTGGGAAGGGGTTCTGGGAAAAGTGGGGAGTGACAGAGAGAGGGCCATGAGCTGCATGCAACGCTGGCCAAGGGGCAAAGTACAGTTTAGAAGAGATTATAGACAGGAACTGGCCTCATCAGGGAAATTACTTAACTCATAGAAGAAACACTAAGTTCAGAGAGGTGGGTCATCTCCCCACAGCCATCATTCTTTTCTCTTCTTGCAGAGATTCTCCCAAGAAAGTCACAAAGAATGGTTTAAATTTAAATATGTTTAAAAAAGAAAAGAAAAGGAAAGGAAAAAGACAAGGATAGGAAATGTGTTCAGGGCTGAGGAATGTTGGCTAAAGAAAGAATCTCAGATGAAGTCTGGAAAAAGGAAGGCTGAAGGAGCAATGTGAAAATCCTGGATGAGGCTTTCTCTACAGTCTGTAACCCTCTCCTTATGTCCCACATGCCCCTCCGTCCACCCGCCTCCATACACCTGCAGCTTCACCCACCACTGCCATCTCTCAGGATCTGGCAAGAACTTCCTCCCCAAGCTTCCCCACTCCTTTCAGTCAATCCAAATCCTGACGGTTCTTTCAGAGTGAACTTTAAGCCCTCTTCTTCCTATAAGAACTTCTTAATTTCCCTTTTCTGAACTATTGCCCTTAGAATTAGTTCCACCCAGCCAAGCACTTGATTTTGTGGTGTCATGTATTTGTTCTGTTTTGTCTGTGTTAATTTCACTTCCCAAACTAAATTTCACAAGTATGATAGACTAAACCACCAGCTTTTTTAGATCAAAGACCGTAGCTCAGTTCTCTTTAGATCTCCTATTGAACTTCGCAAGTTGGTCTACATAGTAGGTGTTCAAAAAACTGGTTGATTAGCAGGCTGTTGTCATACTGCACTGAATGCAATTGCAGTGAGTGCCTGGTATTCCATGGGTGATGACTTAGCATGCGCCCATTTGCTTACAAGGTACAGAAACTCACTCAAAGATTCTGAGGTAAAAGAGGAATTATTAATAGAATACAATGGAAACAAATTACAGGGTATATAACTGGGTCTCATGAACTGAAACTTCGTTAGGCAGCTACCTTTCTCTCTTTCCCCCCAGCCCCCTCTTTTTCTCTTTCCTTTCTTTGGCAGGCCTCTCTATTCTCTGCAAACTGGCTTCTTCGTTCCAAGTGGTAGCCTCTGCACCTGAATTTATAAAACCTTCTAACTCATCTCCTCGCAGCTGGCTGACTAGGTCTACATGGTCCAAATTTAGATTCCTTAGAGAGAATCTGCCTGGTCCGAGCTTGGTCAGTCATTGACCCTTCTCAATAATGGTGGGGGTGGGAGTGGGGGTGGAGAATAAAAGATATCTGTGTGTATTAAGAGCACCCATTGCAGGAATATAGATGGGACAGGAAAATTGTCTTAGATCGCCGCAAATGTTGCATCTTCAAAAGTCCAGTCACAGACTTTAAGGATGTAGAATCAAAGCAAGGTGTCTTTGTGAATGGTCCCGAGGCATTGTGCTGCCCTGATGATGCTTCCTGCTCCTCCTGACTGCTCTGTTCAGCAGTAAACATCCAGAACTCAAAGTCAAAAGACGCAAATTGCCATCCTGATTTGCCACCAACAGTTTGTATAAAAGTGGCAGTTAGAAAAGCTAACTTTTAAGATTTTTAAGCCTCAGTTTTAGTGTGTAAAATGAGGATCCTAGATAAGGGCAAAAATTTTCTTCTACCCTCTCAGAGTCTCTGACTGGGTCTAAGAATTAAACCGACATGACACGTATTAACAGGAGAAAATCATATAAATCTTATTAATTTTTTTACATGTCCATGAGATTCTTTACCAGAAAATGAAGACCCAAAGATGTGACCAGGGCAGGAACCTTTTATACCTTTTAGACAAAGAAATTACACGATTGTGAAGAATTAGCAAGACAAAGAGGCATGGGCTAAGGATAATTAATGGTGAAGAAGTAACCAGGAAGACAAAGGTTAGTTTAACATTTGTTTGTACAGATTTTCCCATCTCTGGTGACAAGAATGTCTTCTTTCTTGGAGGATACCTTTCATATAAGCATTTTATTTCCTGCTTTAAGGAAGAAACAGGAGGGTCAGAGTATCCTTCTTATACCTACTAATTTTAAGTGCCTTTAATTCAAACTAACTAGAATGTCAAAGTGACATATTTTGGATTCCTTCAATAGTATGTTATGTTCAATGTTCACTGTTCAATGTATTGAGAAATTTAAATCATATCTTCCCTTAGATTGAATCCTTACCTTGGGAAATGTACCCTATTCCCACTCATGGGTCAATTTAATAGGGAACTTTAAAAATAATAATTATATAGCTTATATGTGGCCTTAATACTGTAATACCCCTTGCGACCTCACCCATCACTAACTTTTCCCACTCTTTTCAGAGCCATCAAGATTTATAGTCAGAATGAGATTTCACTACAGAGAGAAATCTACTCCCTCATATTGGCCCTCCACTCACTCTTACATGAATATTCATTACAATTATGAATATATGAATACACATGTACAGGAAGGAGCAAAGAGCAAGAAGGAAAGGGGAGGTAAAGAAGGGACAGAAAGGGACAGAAGGGTAAATTAAAGAAGGAAAGAACTCACGCAATTCCCATATAGCTTGGGAGCATGGTTCGCTGGTGGCTGCTCTCCCTTGTGATCACCTGACAAAGCATTAGGCTCATTATCTCAGGTCATGACCCCATGAGAAACTAGTTCTACAATACCTAGTGCATAAAAGATCAAGATAGGATGTCACTCTTTTCCCAAAATACCATACTCTAGACTCCAGAGATTGCTAGATCAAATCAGTTGTTAGAATATACTATACAAACCCAAAATATAAACATTGCTTACATTTTTTAGGCGATATCACATCTAACCTATCAGTTTCCAGTAATAAGTCTGACTGGCTCTCAAGATATACCTTCTTTTTGTAAAAATCACTAAAAATGCTGATATGTAGATATATATGTCATATATATGTTCAGAGTTTAAAAGAATTTAGACATAATTAAAGAGAATATTTGTAAATTGGAGAATAGGTTAAAAGAACTTATCCAAAATGCAACAGAGAAAGAAAGAGAAAATTATAAATGTAAAAGAGAAAGTTAAGAGTCATAAAGTATGAAATGAAAAGTCTAACATATGTCAAAATGGAGTCATGATAGAGAGGAGAGATGGAATGGATCAGAGTAATACTCGAAGATTCCAACATTGATGAGCAATACTGTATCAGTTAGAGTCTAGTCAAGAGACAGAAAACATGCTAGTAATTTGAACTGAAAAAAAAATGTATTATAAAATTTAATACAAAGAATTATTAGCAAGTTTTAAAATGGTTAACTACTAAGAGGATAAAAGAGAACTCTAAGGTGTAGCAAAGGTGGCAAATGCAGAAAACTGCTGGAGCCGATGGAACAAGGGAACCCAGAAAAAACTTAGAGACTTAGAGTATGAGCTTATACAACTGACAGTCACAGCTTTGATGAGAAAGGACAGCTGCCGCAAGAATGCTGGACACCTCTGGAACCCAGAAAAGACCACTGCAGGGACTAGTCATGAATTGGGCCACTAGCTCAGCAAGGACAATCATTCCTAAAGACTGCTCATAGTATCACAAGACCACAATCAGACCTCAGGAAAAAAAAAAAACCCAGGAAGTAACAAGTCTCTTCTTCCTCCTCAAGCCTTGCATATCCCTCCAGCACGCCCACCCCCACATCGGCAGAACCTGCTGTAGAGGCAGCTGGCAGAGGAAAATTGTTTATGGAGTCCAGCTTTCACATCACAAAATACCGATAGGCAGGCTGGAGCTGGGAAGCAATGAATTAATAACTGGCACAGATACCAATACACAGGATCAATAATAAGTAATGTTTATTGAACATTTATTTTGTGCAGGCACTAACCTATATGCTTTACAAGTATTATTAACTCATTTAATCCTTGTAATGATTTTATGAAAGATTACAGTTAGAAGTCCAGTGACTCCTAAGCAAGATATGTAAAATGCAGCCTACTCCTGGACATTTTATTGATAAAACTGCAGAACACCAAAGACTGTGAGAGGATGTTGAAAACATCCAGAGGAAAAAAACACCAATTACCTTTAAAGAGTGACAGTTACATTGAGAGATGACTTTTCAGGGAAAGGATAGGAGAATACTATTGTCAATGAGATAGGAATTATATAACCAGAAAAAGTCTTTCAAGAATTGGGACAAAATAAAAATATTTTCAGACAAAAAAAAAAAATGGATGTTTGCCACTGGTAGGTTTTCTTTAGTGGAAGTCCTAAATAACATATTTCAGATAGAAGGAATGTGGACCCAAATGAAAGAATGAAGAACAAGTGAGCAGGCTAATATGTGGGTAATTCTAATGAATGCTAAAAAATAATATTGTATATAGTTAAAAATAAGCAAGATGGAATTAAAATATACAATAACAATAATCTATAAATTTCAGGGGAGGGTGAAAACATGGAGTTGAAGTGTTCTAGATCTTTGTAGTTTCCAGAAAGAGTAAAATATTGATTATCTTTAGACTTTGATAAGTTAGCTATGTATATCGTAATTCTAAGGAGATGATGGTGCCCTGCCCATATTCCTTTGGCACTTACCATGCCTATACATGTCAATGTTTTTGTACTGCAAGCACCTAAGACTCTGCCTGAGGGAGTTCTCTGGTTGCAGTAGTATGTTTAGCCTCATGTAAGGAAGGCCAGTAAAGCTCAGAGTTAATGCAGCTGTCCTCAGGCCCTTACCCAATGACAGATCAGAGTTGCTGAATAAAAATGCCAGTTTGCTTGTTCCTGGGATAGGAAT